GGCCGCATTTGCGGTCGGGGTAGACGACGGATGGGGCCCACCTACGAAGGCTGTCCAGGCCTACACGAGATGAGGCAGGATAAAAAGGGATAATCTCCCTCGATCCCAAATCATTGAGGCCAATTTCTAGCCATGGAATAATGGCGTGTATTAGAAACGAAAAAGATGAAATCTTAGTAGGGTAGTAGTAAAGTATACTTACCACAAAATTATTTTTATACAACAGTTACAGTTAATAAAACAAAAATTATGTTGAAAATAAAAATGATTTATCACATACAAATATATAAATGTTAGAGGTTATAATTGTGATTTGAGATCTGTGACTTAATAATGCATTCTTTTTAGACCTCAATTTATCTCAATTTATCTTACTTCATCTCAGCTCACTTTGTCTTAATTATTCTTACAAGTGAAACAGTCGGGTGGTAAAAAGAATACAGCTATTATAGGTATGTTCCAACAGTAGTCAGGAATTGGTTCCGAACCGTTCGAAATGTACATCCAACTAATTCTTACGATATATTCACTGAAGACACATTTAGAACTTAGCTGGCCATACATTTCAAACGGTTCGGATTCAATCCCTGACCCCTGACTCTTGTTGGAACAGACCTTATCTATGATCCTAGATAAATGATTCTGTCTATGATATTAGATATATGAAGCGACCGGTTGACCTAGAATTTAGGGTTATTTCTTCATGAAAATTTTGTTGAATTATATTGTTATCATTAAATCATTAATATACTTATATCTGTTAAAACAAAAATATATATTTTAAAAGTTCACTATTTAATTTTTTTAAAATGGACCGCAGTGAAGATGATATTATTCAACGGGTTGAAAATGATGGTAGTTAATAATTATCATTAATAATGTCTTGCATTGAATGCCTTTTTTTCTAGATTTTTATAAATATTTTCTGAAGTCTAGTTCAAATGCAGTACTAAATTACTCGATGACAATAACAGAGCAAGTAAAAAAATTGGGAGAAGGTATAGAACTATTAAATTTGGAACTTCAAAAACAAGTCTTGGAAAAACATAATGATTTATTGCAGCAAGCTGAGCATGCGACTAAACTAGAAACTGTTCTGAATATTATAAATACTCATGTACAGAACTTATTTGCAAATGCTGAGCGTTTAAATAGTCAGGTAACTTTTTCTTTTAATCGGAAGTTTATTATTTTCTCTAATGAAAAAATATTTGAATGGAACAAATTGTATTCATTATTTTATTGAAATTGAATGGATTCAGCCAGAAATTAGATATTAACATTTTTATTTTCAATTTCATTTTAACTTAATTCAATTTTAGATCACAGTTCCTTATAATGAGTTGGAAAAACATACAAAGGTTTTAAGCCGTTTACATTTAGCTAGTCATATTTTACGTCAAGTAAACAGACTTCAACAATTAAGTAAAAGATTAAGTACTACCAGTGATCCAGTTCAGAAAGCCACTATTTTGCAGGAATTAGGTAGGTGCTTATTTAACTATTAACTCTGGGGGAGGGAGTCTAATTGGTAATAAATTGGAACATCAAGTGTTGTCTAAATTAAATATCTTGAATAATCAAAATGCAATTTTTTTTTTAATTTTTGAATGACGTATGCAACGAGGCATTATTGAAAATCCTGGGATTTAAAAAGGCCCGCAATTATGGTTCGCAGATATTCATGTCATTAACTATATTTACATAAAACCTGAGTAAAGAACAGCAATATTATATAGAAACTAAATTTAAATTGCTAAATAGTTTTGGCATTATTATTACATTCTTGTAAACACGTATATGTAAAACTAACTTTTTCAACAGATGTGCTTGTTGGGCCCTTGACACGACTTTTATAAGTAAGGGGTTCATTTATCTCGATCTAATGCTGTCGAAGTCTATAGACCGTCATTTTTAGGTTGAATCATTGACTGACAAGTCATTATACATCTGTACACATTACTTCGAGAGTCCGAGAATCGATGGTTACTTAGGCCCATAGCCAATATCACACACTTCCCCCCTCTATGTCTCTGAAACTATAGGATCACTTTGGGCCCGTGACAACATTTGATCAGAATGTCGAGAACATATCACAATTCCAGCCAAATCTAGCGGGACTCAATTTCCATTCATTTTGTGCAGGATCCTTTAAAATACTATATTTAATATAAAATATTAGGAAATTTTTAAATCTTCATCTTGCATATTGCTTTGTCTTAAACAACAACACTTTTGAATGTCAACATTGCTCTTCCTTCTATGTGAGTACCTTGGAAATAGATAAACGTAAATTTTCATAAATTGATCCAAGACTAAGTTCTTGTTGCACACAAGTTTTTGCAGCTAATTATTTCTTTGGTTGATTTTCTTTTTGTCGCTTACGCAAGAACAACAATGTGTTGATACAAATCTTTGAATATAGGATAGGGATTAATGTTATTATTTGACTCTCTGTAGTATATTATCAAAAGTTGAAATTTTTTGGTAATTTTAATGATAGTGATATTAGACTGTAAAGTTTAAACTAATTTTAAAGAAATAATGAATAGTTCCAGAAGAACTTATTCTTTATGGATTTCATAATAATACACCTAGAGCCTGTGAAAGTACAAACAGGACCCTGATAGTCCTACACTAACCAGAAAATGCTATTTACTACCTTAAAAGAAACGAATAAATTTAAATAACAAATAATAGTAGTATCTCAGTATCTGTATCACTCTTTATCAATAGACTGCTTTTGTGCCCAGAAATGGTTATCATCATTCAGTGCATGAATGAAAGAAACCTGAAAATCTTATTTATTATAGGGGGATGGTCAAATGCCAACGTATGTCAGTCTCTCACACTGACCCATACCAACATTCTTCCACCCTATCATACTCGCAATAAAATTCTACATATTTTGCTGATTTACTGTTTTTTTACATGTTTATACAGGCTGCTATAAATAAATAAAGCGTGGTGGTAATAGTTTAAATAACTAGATGGATTTTACAGGGTCTAACGATACTTACAGTATACAATTCAATAAACAAAGAAATCTAAATAAAAAATTTAGATAAATTTGGAACGAATACACTGAAGATGAATTTTTCGCGACAAAACGTCTGAATCTGGTTCAGGCTGAGGCAGTACAGTATTGGGGGCCATGAAAGCTTCCAAAAAATGTAATAAAATTTCTAGGGTCTTATTTAAAAAAAATGAAGTTGATGATGGTCCTGGAGAGACAAAACCTTACATACAAATTGATTATGCCATTCGAAAGAGGGCAAAAAGTGACCATGAGAAAGTGTTTTTCTTTTTTCAATATCACCTCGAACAAGGCTGAAATGAAACAGAAATGGATTTCCAAAATTTTGTTTTTTTTTCAAATATTTCGAAAACTAATCATGTTAGCCTTGATTTTTTAGAGGCGTAATGTTGATCCCCTGATTACGCAACTTTGCCCTCATTTAAGCTACTTCATACCTCTTACCATTTCCGAGATCCCTGTAGTGAGAAGCGAATTTGTAACATCCTGTATACTATTATGAAAAATCTTAGCTTTTCAATACATAGTACTACAACTAATTTTTCACTTTCGCATATTTAGAGCAACTGGCCTGTGATCCAGAATTATCAGATATAGAGGCTGTAAATACTGAACTTCGTAATATAAAAATTCATCAACAGAAATTAGTTCAATTATCAACTGGTTCATTAAACCAAGGAATTCTAAATGAAAATGTTACTCAAACCACAACTGCCCTACAGGTAATAATTTTAAGTTATAATTTTTAGTTATAAGCATTAAACTATTTTAAAACTGTTCAAGACACATATACAGAGCCTCCATAAATGATTACAAGCCACGTTGTTTGGAACAGTAATTTTATTTCCTTCAGGTTGACAATTAAATTTTGGTAAAATTAAAACAATAAGATCAAGATTACATTAAAACACAACATTCTGTTTCACCGGTTGTGATTGGTGTAATTTTTCACAAGATTCGATTCAACCAATTAACGATCGCATTATTTCGAGCTTAGACGTAACGGTTTATCATTGTTCATTGTAAACAAATCATTAATATTGATGACACCAACATTTAGGGAATTTACATTACCAGTACCATTTGTGCAATGTTGGGTTGCTTAGGCTCGGCAGTATCATGGCATGTAAACATTTATGAAGGCTCTGTACATCATGCCCCAGATAGGTGAATTGACTTTTGATATTTGGCTTAATTTTTCTCAAGGTAAGTATTAAAATTTTTCACACACACTGAGAAAATTTTCTTAACATTTTGTCAGGGCACTTTATACTAATGAAAAAAACTGAAATCTACCGAAAAATCAAAGTAGGACTTTTTATTTTATTTTGCAGAAATATTCAGTTCTTAGAAACATTTTTGAATAACATTTTGTGATAGTTCGTAAAGAAAGTGTACTTTACTAGTGAATAAAATTAGATTCTAAATTTCCATGGTTTACTAGATTTTACTTATTTGAAACCGTAAATTTTGTTTCACAAATAAGCAGGGCAGAATCTCGGAAGGTGATTTTTCAATATCAATATTTTTGACTCTTATAAAAGTAATTTCACATAATTGGGGACATGCTGTTTATATAACACACTACACAGAGTGTATCATAATTATTAATAGCGCAAATTGAAACAACTGTAAGTACACGATACTAGAAGCAAAAAAGTCTTTGTAAACATGGATCTGCAAACGAGCTGTTTGCGAGATAATTTAGAATATGTGGTTACCAGTCACCACTGACTTGATTGTTTGTAAACGACTCTCGGAGTGTCTTCGAGCAGGATATGCTTTTTGGTACAAGCGTACGGCCTCCCGTGCATTGCCTTTAGCCCTACCATACATGAAGTGCTTCATACTCCTCATTACTGTAGTATTCCATTTTACCTATTGTACAGCACACGTAGAACACAACTGTTTTATTACAATGCTGCGTCTCAGAAATATTCACTTGAGTAAACCAAAACCACACCGTTTCTACTACACAAAAAGTAAACAACACACCTGACGCTCCTCAAACAACCGAGAGAAGTGGTACCCTGACTGTGTACTGTATCCATTCTATTTTATTACAACTTCATGTCTCAAAAATGTTCATTTGCGTAAATAAAGACAACACCACGGATCGTTTCTATTGCACAAGAAGTAAACAACACAACTGACGCTCAATGCAGTGAAGAGTATAACAGGCCTGCATCCGGGTACAAGAAAAACCCTTTGAACAAACACTTCCTTTAACTAACAAGTAAGTACATTGTAGTCATTGTAACATGTAGTAACATATTAACTACGGTTTTCTTGTTCATTAAAAATAACTGCACTTTTACCAAAATATCTAATAACTTTTCTTAATGTTGTATTGGTACCTTTTCCTAACTAGGATGAGGTCTACACACAATCAAGTCAGTGGTGGCTTGTAACCACAAATTCTAAATTATCTCGCAAACGGCACGTTTCCGGACCCATGTTTACTAAGCCTTTTTTGCTTCTAGTATCGTGTACTTCAGCTGTGTAAATTTACACTATTAATAATTAATAGTGTAAATTTACACCGTGTGTAAAAAGTGATTATACAAAATATTTATTAAGTGTTGTTTTTAGATTTTTTATAACTTGGGTACTATAAAAACAATTACAAATAATTTGGTACAACAAAATTTAGATGAATGTCGAGTATGTTTACAAATGGCACTCAGTGCTAATGTTGGTGGAAACTTGGCAAAGAACAAAGGAGGACCAGGTCGTGTGGCTTTAACATCTAATCAAGGATTTAGAAGTAAGATTTGGATAGAACTGGAAAAACTCTTTTCAGAAGATGTTTATCAAATTTGTAAACAAGTAAGACATTTTTATTAATTTTTCAAAAATTATGTTTTAATGCAGCTTAAATTTACATGGATAATATGTTACTATTTCTATTGTTAGGTGAAGTTTTTACAAATAACGTTAAGTGGATTAAATATGCAAAATGTTGAACAAAATATAGCCATTATGTTTTGGACCAAATTTGGAGAAATTTTACAAGAGGAGATACAAAAAACTACTTCTGCCGTTCAACAAATGTTAGAAGAAGATTATCCGAAATTATTAAAGAATTATTGTGAAATGACAAAAAAGTTAAAATATGATCAGTTTACTTTTGAGTAAGTAATTATTTTCTTTAGTTTTTCATACCATAGTTAAAAGCAGATTTTAAAACTTGACTTTACTATTCCCGTTTATAGTTGATGGACGGGATTCATAGATTGATGTGTAGATACTAGGATTATTACAAAAATGTGGAAAACAGATTCAATTTTTTTATAAAAACTTGAAGAAATAAGAAAAGGAGAATATATGCTTTATTTAGGTCCTCTTCAATCCAGTAGAACTTTATGTGTCATTTCAATTACTTTATGTCTAAATTTCAATAGTAAGATAAGTAATTGTATAATTGCAAATTTTGCACTGATAAATATAAAAAATCTATTTCTGATGTAAAAATAGATTAATTAATTATAGATAGATAGATTAATTAATAGTAAATGCTTGCTGTATGTGAAAAACATTTCAAAGAATGTTCAAAACACTATTTTTCCATCTAAGAATAAACAGCACAGCACCTTAAAATACATTTTTAAATTGATTTATGTGACACACTTTTTCCATTTTCATTTCATTGAAATCTGTTAGTAAATAATTTTAGAGACTTATTTGCTGTGTAGTATCATTATTGGTTCTGATATCATTATTGCTAATTAATAATTCAGAATGTCAGGATGTTATAAAAGTGGATAATACATCATTAATGTTTTTAGTAAGTCCTTGTTATTTTCATTTCAAGGAAATCGCCAGCGTTATTTGTGAACTTACTTAAAAAGCCTTACAGAAAAAAGAAAGTCAGAAATTTCGAATACTAATTATTTTGGGGGTTACTCTGGACAAGAAATTAACCTGGGTAGGTACCCTATGTTGATAGGCAATTTCTACGGTATCCTTTTGGGTTCGCAAATCAAAGCTATATATTGTGATTCTACTCTCATTTATGCAGCTATTGAATGATTATCTGCTTTTTGACAGATCACAATCAAACAACACTTGAACAACCTGTGACTGATATCAGCTTGACGGGAGCATTATGTCATAACAATTATCCAAGCCTCGTCTGAAGCCTCAACTCTGTAATATCTTTACACAGAGTTGAGACTTAAGACCGGTTTTGGCTCATGTACACTCGACACAAGATAAAGGTTTCCAACATAAAAGACATACTACTTTTAAAGAGGTGAGCCGGTGGACTATTAATAGGAATTTTGGGAGGCATCAATAATTAGGGGCGTCATATTTTTTTTTGTGTTGGCACGTGTGTAACGACACAAAAAAAAATAGCAGGCCTGAAGTATATGCATTATAAAAAGAGAAGAGTATACTTTGCATCCGTTTAAATCCGTTTTAGGCTAGAAGAAAAAATATTAGTCCTTATTAATATGTATTTACCTTTTTGAGATTAACAATGGATATTGAGTGTACAATAATTTAAAGAAACACACGTTTACTGACGCACGCGCATTGACAATAGCGAACGAAATAATCTATCTTTGTCATAAGCAAAATATAAAAAGGTAAATAAATTTGTATCTGTCTAAAAAACAAACGTAAAAAAAAATTCGAAGGCAACTTTTCATTATTTTAAATAATCAACCGAATAGTATAGAAAAAAAATGTTTTAGTTTTGTTACATCATTAAAATTAACAATTAAAAATTTGAAATTGTTATAACTTTCTTATTAAAAATTAAAAATCATGTCTATTTCTCTAAAAAGAAAAGTTACATTTTTTAGAGTAGATTCCAGCCTCCTTAACTCTGTTAATTTTAATAGTACAAGAAAACGTCGAGAGGCCATTTTTATGTAGAATAGTATGCTTTACAACTTTTATAAGAAACTTCATCTGATTTTATTGCGGGCACCTATACAGTGTTTATTAATGGCGTACAGAAAAACCAGAGGCCCATTCTGTGGCTAAAATTAAATAAATTTTGTTACACACACGTAGGCTCTTAAGGCCGCCGTTTCCGAGCTGCAGGGTTTTCAAAATTAAAAAAAAAAAATTAAAATTTTTAATTTTCTTATATCCATTCAATCTAACTATAGTCCAGTCGGCAGAGGCCGAAAAGTTACACTTGGTGACATTTTCTTGATAACTCGGAAATAACTACACAGGAATACTTTAAGTGATGAGTTCAATAACAGGCTAATTTGCTGACAAAGTATTTTATCAGGAAAAAAGTTATTAACAATTTAATTGTGAAAAATTTTTTTTTAGTCAGCGGGATGACTGTACGAAAAAATGCTTCGGGTACATGATTTTGTTCGTAATAAAAATAGCTACAAAATGGCGGTGGTCCGATTACGAAATTTGCAATAACAAAGCCATGACATTGAAAAAACGGTATAAAACGTCAATTTTTTAAAGTTGCTGAAAAAGTGAATTATAAACAAAAAGTGATAAAACTTTTGAAAACTATAGTTCAATATATATATAATAATGATGCTAAAGCCGAAAATCAGGAGAGCAAAACTTTTTGTTCTATAAGGTTTTATACATTCATCGGCATCTGAAACTCGAAACTGCCAAATTTGTTCGAAGCTTTGCTGACACTTGAAATTTGGTACACACATAGTGTAAATATGCAGAAACCAAAAGCAATTTGCAAAATTCAAGTATCTTCATTTTTGCAGATTTGGTAAGGTTTTATACGTGGCCCTAGTTTTATACGTCACCGTTTTTTTTAATTTTTGGACATATATTTATAAAATATTCCATTACGGTAGATTAACCAGCACAATTACCTATAATTAAAAAAAAAATTATTTTCATCATTTAGATCCTAAGTTACTTAACATTTTGCACCTGTTAGCCATACTCATATATTATTCAACATATCAACATAAAACAAAAACGTATGTGTGGGGTAGGCCTGTAGTTATTTCCGGGTTATCAAGGTTTGACACAGGCCGAATTTCTACCAACTGGACTACTATTCGTAAGTAGGTAGTAGACGTTTCGCATGATTTATTAACTAAGATGAATCGATTTTTCTATTGTAATGTAAATGCAACTCTTTTAATAGAAACAAGATAATAAAAAATGAATATGGGGTCTGCTATAAGAGTTTGCCGATTAGTCCCATTTTAAAAATCCCAATCTACCAGGAAAGCATTTTTGTACAAAACTCGTAAAATGTTAGATGTGACGGTAAAATATTGCCACATGAGTTTAATGGGAATGCCCCATATAGACAAGCGGTTGAGCCGTCATATTTCAAACAAAATACGATTCTGATTGGAAACCTTTATCTTGCGTCGAGTGTACCATCTCTGTGTAAAAACATCGAAGAATATTACTTTGGCAATGCCTGATGGGGTGTGCTGTTATTAATACATACTTAGAGGCTCTCCTGTCACTTTCCAAACTACATCTTGTAGTAGAGGGAGAGGCAAGCAGGCCTTAAATGTTGGAGGCTATGGTGGAGTAAAGATCATGTTGGGGGATATATGGTTGCCCTCAAAGAACTAGTATGTTTTTCACAGAAACTTCAAAGTAGAGATATCGATAACCCTGATGCTCTGGAATGACCCGTTTGGTTCACTAAGACACGTTTTTGTCCCACATGATCACTTATCGTGTGGTTTTAAAGTGTGTCCATGTTGGGACAGAAATAAAATCGTGTAAAGCTGACCTGGATTCCTAGTTACACAGAACATTCCATCTTTTTAGCAGTCAATAACCAGTCTCAACCAAAAACATTAAAGAATTTAGACTTTATTCCTTTTTTGCTGTTATTTATGTAACTGATGTATCTGGCAACATAATATAACAGAAAAAAGAATGAGGAGAATGTATCGGTCTTTGGAATGTGCATACAACATATTTAAACAAAGAAGGTGAACATGCAAATAATATCACACCAAAAATACTCCAATTAAGAATTATAATCAAATTATACAGTTTTGATTCTCAGTTTTCTTAAGCCTAGGTACGCAGAATAAGTTTGTCAGATGATGCTTTAATCTTTATATTATTTTATTTTTGTTGTTTGAAATATGTGTAAGATTATTTTTTATGCAGTATAAATTTGTTTTAAAAGTCATCTTAATTATCTTAAATAACTAGTTCGCAATATTCAGTTAATATTAGGAATAAGTGCAGTTTATTTTCAATGAATTTTTCCGTTCATTTAATTACTTCCTCAAAAAAAAGACAACATTTTTGTTGTTATAATATACTCTTACATTATTCTGAACATTATTTTTTTTAGAAGAATAAAACATGTTCGTTTATTTTTCGTTGACTTTAAGATAAAATAAAGTTTTTCAAATACATTTCTGGTCGAGAAATCTCTTTTTAGATGTTATGTACTTAAAACGTGAGCGACTATTGACTACTACGGTGTCCTTAAAGTAAAGGTTGACATAGGTACTTGTATACATAAAATAATATGACCAAATTAGCCAAGGTTGATGGGAAAATTTAGTATGTACCTCGGCCAAAACCTGTATTTTTTGGGTACCACCAACTTGTAGACAAAAACATAGGTTGATATAGGTATATAAATAACTATTAAAGTGTTCTTTATTTCAATTGTAGCCGAAATGTTTTAAAGAATCTTGAAAATTCTTATCTTTCAACATCTTTAACAAGAATGTTAGATCCTACACAATCATTATTCGATAATGAAAGTGCTGTGCCCTCCCATGATCAGATTGATTCGTTAATTCGAATAATAACAAGGTAATAAAATAAACAGATGTCAGTCACATTCTTTATTTAAAAAATGTATATTTTAGCGAGTTAAGTGTAGCACTGATAGAACAGAATTTAAATGAACAGACTTCTAAAAATGTTGCAAAATGCATCAAAATGTTCGCTGTCAAAACAGAGCAGCAGTTGGAAACAGGACCAGAAGCTGCTCAAGTTATAGGTATGTACCATTTGAATCTAAAAAAAAAATATGTCCACATCTTTTTTGTTTAAGGAGGATCTCCAAATATCGGTCAAAATAAAAATATGAACCTTGCCAATGCTTTATATTATCTCCAAACACAAATTCAAAGAATGCTTTTCAATATGAGGGATAGTTTACCAGATTCCTGTGTGAAAATAATCAGCGAAAGTTTACAAAGCCTTGATTATTTAACGTCGTCCATTTTACAACCACTAGTTGGTAAAAGATACTTTTTTTAATTTCTTACAAATAAAATATAAAACGTCACATCATTCATAAAATGACAGTTTCTTAATGAAAGTATTTTTAACATTATATTTTTAGGATCCATTACATCCGTAATAGAGACAATTATAATAACACTTCATTTGGAAACTGATTGGCCTAAGCTACCATTGCCTGCTAATAAAACCTTTCAATCTTGCAGTCCATACATGAGGGAATTGAGTCAGTTTATAATGAGGGTATATCAAACATATTTGTCTAATTTTGAGAATAAGGAAGTTTTATCTGCCAAGTAAGTATGGTTATTGTACAGGTTTTACCATTCCTGAAAAATTTTTGAATTTTTTGAATAACTGATATGCTTAACACACTGCACTTACAATTCTCCTGTATAATTGCTCTCTATTCTCCCTTTCGATTTTAATGCGCCTCACAAAAAATAATCGGAGGGTGTCAAGTCTGGTGATCTTGTTCTCTTCCGATCCACCATCCTTGATATTGTACATGTAAATGTTGTCGAACTAGTACATGAAATGAGGAGGTGCATAAACCACATTTCATGGTGAAGTAACAACAGTAGATCTTTTAATATGATTAAGATTAATTAAGGTTTTTTCCATTTAATCTGTTTGATAATATAACAGAGTCTGTAATAAAATTACCAATGAATGATGAATTGTTGATAAGAGGTTCTTACATCGAATGATTTCTCTACAATTCATTCTTAGCATAACTAACTTGTTTTCCTAAAATAATGTTTTAGTTAAGTTTGTATTTTCTGCAGGTTATTTATTTCAACATTATATTATATTTATATATATATACGTAAGTGTTCAAAGTTTATAAACCACATAGTCAATATGTTTAGCTTATTTGAAATTTGAATCTAAATAAACACCTAAATATTTTTTATCACGCGCGCTCGCTATGGGATATATAGCGAAGGGGGTTATGTGCACAGATAGTGCTCAGAGTAATAAATAAAGGGAAGACCTCATGCCCTATTTCAGTGCACAGTGTAAACATGTAACCACAACAACTCATATATCATCAACAAATGATATATAAGTAAACACAATGGTCCCTGGTACAGTGGTGTACCGAGTTTAGGTTTAAAATCTATCATAATATAAGGAAACCATAAAAATTAGACTTTTTAATAGAATTTGATAAAATCAGAAGTGCTTGATTATCTAAGCTTTCATGTGTAATAAATAGACAATAAATAGGAAAAAGTTAGTGGTTTCTCCAAAATCTATAATTAATATTTTAAAAACATTTCCAGAACAAAAGAGTGACTAAAGAAAACTCCTCAATTGAAACTGTCATTATACTATAGCTACCAAGTGAACATAATTTTACAAGTATCTAATGCTACAAAATATGATGCATTCAATGTCATTGCCTGCTATTAGTTCTATTATTTCATAGTAGTTCTCGATTACTGGAAAAACTACATTTATTAAAATAAATAATTTAAATAAAACTACAAGGAGCAAAAATATATTTCATTAAAATATACGCGTGTACTGGGTCACGTGCCTGATTAGCCAATAAAAACAAAGGACGCATCTATCTGTTCGCTGTGAACACATTTTGTATATGAGGTTGCATATATTAAGGGGCGTAGCTCGCGTCGTAATAAATAATAATATAAGCTCCCAGATTTATTTTACCGCGAGTACATTTGAATTCTTTAAATATTTTGTTGATATTTAATATGATTAAATACATAAAATTTTATGTGTTCTGCAGCTCCGCAGCTCTTATGGTAAAACTGCCACTGCATTTAATCGTGTGGGAAAATAGACATGTTCCAAACACGTTTTAAACGCATGCAACAAAAATAAACTGAATTTTGAGCTCATAGCATTGACAGCTCCTCTCTTACGGAGCAGGGACAACATGTGATTAAAGAAGTTTTATAGCAACATCTATAAAATTTCCTTCACTGGCAATTTCTCGAAGGGGGAGCCTTTGAGACGGCACAACCTTTTAATCAACACTGCTAAAAATGTTTGTTAAATTATTCTTATTACCTTTTTAAAACGTATTACCTTCCAAATGTTGTATTAATAGGGACAACTCCATGTGTGAGACATTGTTTTCCAGTTACTGTTACCTTAATATCTGTAGCACGGAAATGCTTCGAACAGACATAATTATCCTTTCCTTTGATAAATCATATTCAGATATGGCTAAATTTTCTAGCCACACTGCTCGTATCGCAGGATCTTATGGTATTCTACAAATAAACACAGAGGTAGTGATAGTATCAAAATACAAACGTAATAAATTAGCAAATAAAATACTTAGAACACCTTACACCCTTGTAAGAACGTCCATGGAAACAATGTTAAACTTACTTATGAAAAGAAGTAGCACATATTTGGCTCTTTTCCTGTAATTGTTGGCATATTATACACCGCTTTGGCATTTTTATTGAAATTAAATAAAAAAACACAGTTTAAAAAGACACAAAACACTGAACTCGGCTAATATCAATTTCACAATAATAGACTGTAATAATGGCATCTCTTATAGTACCGTTTAATACCAGGCAATGATGCCACTTACGGCGTTTGTATTGCTAAGAATTTCAATAATGTATTTTTTTTTTCGGATATTCAGAATCTATAATTATAAAACAAGTTGCAAGAAAATAGTGTCGTAGTCTTATGCATATTACAATGTAACTAATTTGCAAGTCGAGGTCAAAAAAAAGGTAGATCCTTGTACGTTAATCAATTAAAATAACCGCTGTACCTAGCTATAAAGATAAAAATGTAACATTGGCATCAACGTCAAGGACGTCACCAAGTTCCAATGTTTGTAAATACACATAATATCAACACTTCACTATCGAATGTAAATAACGGCGTCCCCTTTATTTATTAGTCTGAGGGAAATTGCCAGATAGTACAACGGTGTGGTATTATTTTCATAGCGCAATGCTCCAGCATTGTGCTATGAAAATTGGTAACGGGTTATCCATTTACTCCTTGGGAAGTAAAGTTTAAAAAAACACAGTGAATATTTAAATTTCGATGGAACTTTTATTTCATAATAAAGTTTGGACTATGCCATTATGCGTGAAAAACAATATCATTCAAATGTCTTCCACGGAACCGTTTGCAGGACTCAAACTTTTTGAGGTAATTTTCGAAGACTTTTTCACTCAATTCGGGCAATAATTCGGCCATAACTTGATATATCTCGTCTTTGAATTACTCCAAAGTTGTGGGATTGTTCGCATAACCACGGTCTTTCGCATAGCCCCACAAAGAGAAATCCAAAGGCGTTAAATCGTAGGATTTTGGTGGCCAAGCTACATCGCTGAATCTTGAAATTACACGTCCTGGGAATTTCTCGCGCAATAGAGCCATAATTGGTCGCGTTGTGTGGCATGTGGCCCCATTTTGTTGAAACCACATATCGTCCAGATCAAAATCTTCAATTTCAGGCTAAAAAAAGTTGATGATCATGGCGCCACAATGTGCCGTATGACAGGTCCAAATGCTGAGCTCGACTTGAAGTCGAAAGATTCGGGTCATCGTTAATGCTTTCATTCACAGCGGCTATGTTTTCGATTGAACGGGCAAAACGATGATGCACAGGTCTTACGAGGTCTGTTACCGATCCAGTCTATTGGAATTTCCTCACTGTATTGGTTGTTTGCTAGGATGGACGATTATGTCAATCATAATCTCCGCGTAATGTGCGAAATGCAGCCACCGAAGATCCACCATTTTCGTAGCATAATTTAATAATTTTAACGCGTTGTTCGGTCGTAAAACGTTCCATATTGTGAAATGGCAAACCTTTAACTAAACAAATATCAGTCTGGACGATAGTGACATTTGACAAATATCAATTGGCAGGGCTTTACTATCCCAAGCTCGAAATGGATAACCCGTTATATAATTTAACCTCATATTTTTGTAAATTGTATGTGATTTGAAACTGTTTTTCATTTTTATTAGGTATACCCTGTATATTTAAATATTTTGTGCTACGGCAAGTTGACAACTGGACAAGATATATTATTTTCCTTTGGAATTACTTAAAATATTATAATAGAAAACTTGTTGGATGTAATAGGCAAAAAGATATTTTTGTGACTACGTATTTCACATCGCATGCCAAAAACATTTACTGTTTGCACGTGTTACATACATATTTCAGAAGAGAATCAAATGGTGATATATTTTCTACTTTTTTCTACAAACACAATGTTTTACGGGTCCTGTAGCCCTGGGCCTCACGAGACTGGGGGGCCTTGGCAAGATTATTTTTTTTTTAGAATCAAAAACCTATTTAAGTTTTGAAATTTAATATCATTTTTTTTTTTAAGAAAGAGGGTCTGAGTAGAGCTTGTTGCCCCAGGCCTCAACATAGGTTAATCCGGTCCTGCTTGTCATAAGTTATTTTTTATCTTTGGTAGTTTCTGAGCTACTGAAATCCCATTGCATTTGACTTATTTTGCAAATTATAAAAAAAAATTGTATATTTTTGTCTGTTAAAACCGAATATACAAAGAATTATTCTGTAAATAATTAATATTAAACTTTAATTAAAATGTATATAAGACAAAAAACTTTTTATGTTTTAGATGCAGTGACATTGCTATAAGATGCATTGAGTTATTTGTTCGTCACACGTCCCTTCTGAGACCGATATCTCAAGGGGGTCGTTTACGTCTACAAGCGGACTATCTCCATTTAGAAAATTCATTAAAAGTTATATGCCCCCAACTTTCTGATTTAGGAAGACCATATCGTCTGCTAAAATCGGTGGCATCTTTGATAGCATTGTCACCTACTGAAATAGTTTCTGGACAAATTTCTGGCAGTTCAGTTCCTCACAGTACCATCCTTTTAATGTTGTTTGGATTTGCTGGTCCCGAATTAGCTAGTCCACATCAGAATACTAGTTGGTCATTACCAAAATTGTCGACTTGGCTGGATGAACATACAAATGAAGAAGATAGACTGGATCTTATCGCTGGAGCATTACAAAGATATGAACATATAGTAAGACAGAAAAATTCAGTTAATTATGACCCTGCTTATCCTGTAATGTCACAATTTTTAGAAACTGCAATTAAGGGTGTAAAAAAGTAATTATAATACGGTAATTCAACTTTGTGTGCAATTTTATAATTATATGAAATAAAGGTGAATATAGAACGGTGAATGTGATAATAAAATTATTGTTAATCACAAACAGGTTGTACAAAAAAGAGATTGATTTATTAAAACAGTTTAACAGATAAATCACTCCACTCTTGAAAACGATAATGTCCATGGGCATCATGTACCCCTCCCCTCCCCAACTGTTTAAAAAGCGTTTAGGTTTTGAAATTTTAAATTTTATATCGGTAGGTTGCTGATTGTTACCGCTGCTGAGTAAATAAACTATTCTATTCTATCTAAAAACGAATATTTTTTTTTCGTTTGTTAGTTTATCATAATTCTCGGGAAAGAGTAAAGGCTTAATAATCTCACAATCCTTTTATTAAGACGACTAGTTTCGAGGTCTACACTTTGCACCTCATCTTCAGGTCATAACAAGGATATCACATTTACGAGGTTCTGTGCAAAATTTGGAAAATTCATCTAAATAACCAGTTTATCAATTGTATACTTAATAATATCTTCCTAACGTTATTAGATATTATTAAGTATACAATTGATAAACTGGTTATTTAGATGAATTTTCCAAATTTTGCACAGAACCTCGTAAATGTGATATCCTTGTTATGACCTGAAGACGAGGTGCAAAGTGTAGACCTCGAAACTAGTCGTCTTAATAAAAGGATTGTGAGATTATTAAGCCTTTACTCTTTCCCGAGAATTATAAATATGGACTCACACTTATCTATTTCAAATTTAGTTTATTATGTTTTAAGAGCCCCCTCAAAAAATCAGCTCAAAAAAAAAATTTTTTTAGGGGTTGCTCATGATTTTTTAAAATTTTCTAAATTGTCAAAAATTGCATTTATTTTTTCTCGTTATTTTATCATTTTCTAGCTTGAAAAAAATCTCGATTCTGAAAATTTCAAATCGATATTTTAATTTCTAAAGGTCTCATAATTATTTTAACTTTAAAAATAGTGTACCTAATATGTTTTCGAGCAACCTCTAAAAATAAATATCAACAAACTAATAATTTTTTTTATTGAATTTGATGAATAAATAAATCACGACACACTTTAAAAATTTCACATATTTCAAATATTTATAATTTTTTTATTTTTTAAAATTTAAGTGTGATTTATTTCTATTCTTTTGTTCAACAAATTCAATAAAAAAAAAATTATTAGTTTGTTGATACATATTTATTTTTAGAGGTCGCTCGGAAACATAGGTACACTACTTTGAAATTTAAAATAATTGAGTGATCTTTAGAAATTAAAATATTGATTTGAAATTTTCAGAATCGAGATTTTTTTCAACCTAGAAAATGATAAAATAACGAGAAAATAAATAAAAAAAAAATTCAATTTGTGACGATTTTGAAAATTTTTTAAAATCTTGAGCGACCTCAAAAAAAAATTTTTTTTGAGCTGATTTTTGAGGGGGCTCTTAAAACATGCTAAACTAACATATTTTCACAAGAGACACGAAAAAAACATTCGTTTTTGTTTGGGCCACCCCAATGTCCATGTTAAAATAAATTAACTGATCAGAAAAAAAATTGGAAAATGGTAGTCAGAACATTTTCAATGGAACTTTATGTGGCATGTATGTCTTATTCAGAATATTTACAAACTGTTTCCGTTGGGATATTTTTCAACAAAAGTACGCCAGGAACATTTGAAAGTAGGTGTATTACATAAGAAGTATTAAAAGAACTTATTCATTTTGAACATAAAGTCACAATGAAAATGTATCAAATGTAATATAGACCGATCGAAATAACTCATTTAGAGGGAAAAAAAAAGAAAATTGTTACCTGGACTTTTATAAGTGGAAATGGTAAAGGGGCTTATAATAAGCGAAAAAAATAAATGCGTGAGCAGGGCCAGTGGAGGGTTGATTTGGGGGGTTGAAAAGTTATGAAAAATTGTATCATTGGNTTGAGAAGAATCAATAATTCAAAGGTTTAAATGTCAGTATTGGGATAAAAAGATATTAATGTCTAGATGACAGTGGAAGTTAATTTGATGACAATTTATAAATAGATTATGAATTTTAGAGGAATATTAGTCTAAATCTATGAAAGTGGTTATAAAATAAGGGCATTGGATAGGGAATTGAGAATTAAATAATATTAGAAAATTTAAATTAAAAATGTAAAATTTAAAAGTGATCTGATTGGTTAAATAAAAAAAAGGAGATTTTGTATTTTAAATTAAGTGTGTAGTGCGACGGTAATCAAGAAGAATAATAAATAAGACAGGAGAAGAGAGAGGAGATTGTCAAAAAGAATATAAGAAGATTAAATTATTACCAGCTAATTATAGTATCAAAGACGAGAGGAGAAGTTATTGAGAAGCTGAAGGAAAAGTTTCTGAAGATAAGAATTTGTATTGGAAGAAAGTAACAGGAGATACAGATAACGAAAGACGTAAATATTAAAAAGGTTAGATTATTAAAATTGTATGAATTATCCTAGCCAACAATAAAAGATTCGAGGGGTACGAGAGACCAGGGGAGAGCTAGAAGTCCCATCTAGCATATATCGACAATCACCAGGAGAGAGTACGTAGACGCCTAGAAGGGAGAGGATATAAGCAACGCTACAGAGAGAAGGTACCGACGTAAGAAATCAAGGACAGTGAAAAAAAAAAGGATTGTTGATCGGTCTGAAGTGAGTGACAATAATAATTATAAGAATAGAATAAGTACATGTTTGTAGCATAGAATTAAGATAGAGCAGGTTAAATTAGGGAATAGAAAAATTTAATAATTTATTTGTCATCATAAATATCAATAGAAAGTTTGAACCCAGATCACACTATATTATTTAATTTTATTCAGTTTAATCTAAGAACCGACTTCTGAGAAGGGAACTCATGTTCTGATAAAATTCATAGAAATTATTTGTGCAAAATTAACAGAATAAATTTAGTTTTCAATCAAATCATAAAAAAAAAGGAAAACATTAATAAAATTATAAGTTAATTTTAAATCCCGAATACTAAAACTATTTTCATCTTTGAATTACCATTTAAATTATATTGAGTGATATCCTGTGAGAAAAGCTAGCCTGGTAAGTGATCAATTATATTTCATGAATTAATAGAAAAAGTTACAACATTTTACTGGCGCTCTATATACTAATACACACCAATACACAAAACAGAACAAAGATATTTGTCACAATTGAATCATCACAATATATATGTAGGTATATGGTTATGTATGTCAGTGTATGTATGAAATAATTATATCAATATATGTCTGAATTTTTCTTAACTGAGTGTACCACACACGATGATTTATATATTGTATGTTAATATTGTATTAAAATATTGTACTGCATTATTGTTCTCGAAACAAGTCATTACTTATCGAGTATATGTTTTATTACTTTTTTTATGCTTATTCTTAGTATTAAGATTAGATTCTAAAATTGATTATTGTATATTGTTAGAAAGGATGTAGCATAGGTAAATAAACATTATTATTATTATAAACAATATAAGGGAATTTTTATTTTAAATTATTGCACAATTATAGCATATTTTTAGCACAGGGGTGATTTATAAGGGTTGAAAAGTGTTATGAGATACAAATTCTTTCATAAGCAATGAGGGAATTTTTATTTTAAATAATTGCAGCATTAAAACATTCCAAGCTTTTAAAAAGTAATTTTTTATCATTTTTGTCAATACAGGAGTGGTTTTTAGGGGTTGAAAGGGAAAAATTCTTTTATTAGCTATAAGGTAACTTTTATTTTAAATAATTGCACAATTTAATCATTCCAAATCTTTAAAAAGTAATTTTTTATAATTATTTTATGCATAGGAGTAGTTTTTAAGGGTTAAATAAAGGGTAGAAAAGATCAAATATATCATAAAACATGTTTGAGAACATGGAACATTATTTAATCTTTGTGCTCGAACAAGATTTTTATCAATAAAATGCTTAAAACTTAATTTTTTCACTTAAGGGTAGTTTTTACCCCTAAAAAACAAAGCGTCAATTGGGCTTATGTCACTTCTGCACTTGAGCCTAAGATGAGCCTTATCCGTAGAATTGAATGGTGTAATCAGTTTTTGAATGTTTTTTAATTTAAACAAATTATCAACAATAACTGAAAAATTCATTGTTGCAAGTAATTTTTTTTTTGCCTTTTTGAGCATGTTTTTGAACTGTGATTACAGATTTTTTTATTTCACCAAAAAGTATATGTCAAAACGAAAAAAAGATTACCGGCAGAACTCTGTACGATGATTTTTCTAAGTAGAATTTTTCTTTAAAAAAAAAGTGTTTCAGGCCGAAAAAAAATAAATATCAGAAACGTCTTGATTTTTTTATCTAAAAAAATTTGTGGATATTTAAGACAGAAAGGTATACTTTCCCTAACTTTCGTTAAAATTAAATTATTTTTGTGGCAATGGGAAATAAAAAACGAAAAATCAGAAAAAAAGTTATTTTTCGCATTTTTCTCGAAAATTTTGAGGTTATGTTAAAAAGGGACCTCTACAAAAGTTGTAGATTTTTGTAGAGGATACTTTGTTCTTTTGTATTGGATACTTTTTTGTTTGACATCAACTTTCGCCAGAAATCCCATTGATACAATATTTCATTACTTTTCGACCCCCCAAATCAACCCTTTGCCGCCCCTGCTCACGCATTTATTTTTTTTAGGTTTATTATAAGCCTTTTTACCATTCCCACTTATAAAAGTCCAGGTAACATTTTTTTTTCTACAAGTATAATTTGGTTGGACTAATTGACTAAACTAGTGAAAATAAAAGTACGATAATTCGTGCATTTTTGAAAAGCAGAACAGAATAAATGCTGTTATCAAGCATGACGGGTGACGGGAAAAAATTGATATTATGCACGAGTAATAGGAGTAGTGAAATGAATATTCATTGCTCAGTTTCCGAAGCAATTGCAGGTTGTCACTGTTCCACACAAAAAAAAAAGTTGAATTAATTCATAACCACTATTTTTTTTATCAAAGGACCAATTTGATCAAATAAGGAAATACATTTAAAAGTATATTATATAATTCGTGTTCTAAATTTTATTTGTCTTTTATGCCTTATTTGCCTAAGGTAAGTACATTTATTTGAAATCATATCACATTTTTAGTACACATTTGAGAATGTGGTTAAAAATTATGAATCTAATATTTCCAAACATCCACAAAATTGTCAATTGGAAACCAATAATCATCCCATTTTTAAGATCTACATTAGAATTTCGTATTATGTCTTATTATTATTATTAACCACACTCTATAAGTAAACAGAGACAGACATACATGTTATTGCAAACTTGTCTTTGATAGTTAATATTTATATGCTTGTAATCTGTATATAACGCTGCAATCTGCACTTCCAGTTTTTCTTGTAACATTTATATACATATATTCTTTAATATCGCTTGGATCTCTTGTTCTAATTCATCGCTTACTAACACTTCATATGAAGTCTTGTCCTCAACACACAGTTTATTAAAAATAGTCTTTGAAGCCTCCCAACATATTATATTTCGTGATATTGCGTCAACAAGAATGTTGGCAGAAGGAAACGTCATAGCTAATATCCTACAGAAAAAAATAAATTTTAGAAATATTTATCTAAAAATTAAAATAAATTACTTACTTAAATATACAAATACAGCATTCTTTAAGAAATTCTAATTGATGATCAGGAATCGATGCTTTTTCTCTGTCCATCATATTTGCGGGTTCTTTCCCCATTTTCTTTTCTAGATCACCTTGCGCAAAGAATTCTGAATAAATCAACTGAGCAACCCTTTTAGTTTCCGACCAATCCTTAAAATTAGAAATGCTGTAAATTCATGTATATATAAAAAGGAAAACAGTGATACCTTTGTTTGATCAGATAGATCGGCACATGTCATTAGGAGGCTACATAAATAGTAACGATGTTCTGGATTTGTTTTATCATACCCTTCCTAGTACAAAACATAAGATTCAGTTCCAATAACAAATGAGGTGTTACTTTAGATTATTTTATGGAAAAAGTTCCCATGGACATATGTTCTAAATGGTAAACAGTTTTAGAATTATTATTATTATTATAGGCTAAAAATATAATAAACTTGTTTTTCAATTTAAAGGAAGAGGTTTTTTTCTTTGAAACACAATTACGATTAAATCGAATTTTCAAAATATCAGTAGTGGATATTCTTTAGTTCTCTTCCACTGATATAACTGCCTACATACTGTTACCTTTACTTATCCATCTAAAAATGTTTAAAAATTGAACGAACTAAGAAAAGGCAATCTGTAACAATATTTTCATATCTAGTTCTGAAATTTTTCCATTTAGTTTTGAAGTATAATAGTTTTATCACTTACATCATGATTATCATATAACAGCAATAAACTGTTTTTTACAAAAGTTTTATATACAGGGTGGTCCCGAGCTAATGGGCCAAAATTCATGGGTAGATTCCCAAAGCAAAAATATTGCGATTTAGCTGAACTTACCTTAGTCCAAAAGTTGATAGTTAAAGAGATACAGAGTGTTAAATGTAAAATATTTTAGTTTATTTCTATTTATTTCTTAATAAATGCAAATATCCACACAAAATTTTGGGGTTTGGGGTTCTTTGGGTAGAGGAATTGAAATTTGTTCACAGTTTGGTTATAATTCATAGAGGGCGCTAGCTGCCATAGATTGAATGTGTTGAAAATGACCTAACTTTTTTGTACTTTAAGGTATCTCATCTTTATTATCAAATTCTTATTATCCAACTTTTGACACAAAAAAGATATACTTTATGAATGTAGCGGTCTTGCACCGTTTCTGAGATATTTGGTTTTGAAACTTACAATGCTAATAGTTGAAATAATTGAAATAATTTAGAAATGTTAAAAATAAGGGTTTATTTAGAATTAAAAATTGCAATGAACAGTAAAATAGTAAACATTAGTAAAAAATATGACTGTGACAATAACTGCTCAAAATGTCCACCTCCAACTTCAATACATTTATCAACGCATTTATTAAAAGATTGTCTTATTTTAAAGTATAAATCCTTAAAGTGAAATGACTTTGCAGTATTTAAAACCTGCTGCCAAAGTTCTTCCCAGGTGTTTATAGTTTCTCCATAAACAACTGATTTCATGTAACCCCAAAAATGAAAGTCTCAGTATTCTTTCTCACAGGTACAATACAATTTAAATTGTAAGCTACGATGTAATTTTAATTAGGTACGAATAATACTTAATGGAAAGTAGCATACAAATGACAGCAATAAGACAAGTGGAAAACGTCAACTATTTGATTTGCGTTCAAATCCTACTTAAAGAAACTTTACTGCTAAATTAATAATACCTGTAGGTACTTAATTGTAATTGTAATTGTAATCCAGCAGCATTGGAAGTTTCAAAGCCAAATATCTCAGAAACGGTGCGAGACAGCTACTTTCATAAAGTATACCATTTTTGTGTAAAAAAAAGTTGGAAAATAAGAATTTGATACCAAATATGAGATACCTTAAAGTATAAAAAAGTTATGTCGTTTTTAACACGTTCAATCTACTGCAGCTAGCGCCCTCTATGAACTTTAACCAAAATGTGAACAAATTTCAATTCCTCTAACCAAAGAACCTCTAACCCCAAAATTTTGTGTGGATATTTGCATTTGTTAAGGAATAAATGAAAAAAAAATGAAATAATATTTTACATTTAACACCCTTTATTTCTTTAACTATCAACTTTTGGACTAAGGTAAGTTCAGCTAAATCGCAATATTTTTGCTTAGGGAATCTACCCATGAATTTTGGCCCATTACCTTGAAACCACCCTGTATTTAGTTTGTTTATATACATATTTCATACATGCAGTATATTAATTTATAGAAAATAAGGAGTGTTCCTAAATCACAAAAGTTCGCAAGCAGGAACCCATTTTATGGATAATTTATTTTTAGTACCGTGTTCAGATAGTACAAATTTACAAATCTATTGATTTTGTGATCGTTCATACATGTTGTTCAATACAAATTTATAATTGGAACTATATCATTGATAATTTACTTGCGCCTAGCTTACTAGTATGTATGTAAATAATTTAATTTCTATTAAGAAAAAAAATTATTATAAAAGGGGTTCTATAATACCTTCATTTTCTTCTAGACCAATGACATAGGTATATGTATTTTCTGTTGTTTTTTAATGCCTTGTTACTCACCTTATTAATAGTACTAATGTTCAATATTTTCTCCCTTAGGTTTATACAAATTATCGATTGATTATTTTTTGTTTGCTTTATCTTTTAGAATCCCTCATAGAAAGAATTTAATCGAGATCAAATTGGTCTTGCGGATCGTAAAATTATTCCTTCACAAAGATAATTTATATAAACAAATGTCCTTTGTCTAGAACTAGAGGGTATTATAAAACACCTTTTATAGTAAACTATTTTTTTCATAATTAAAATGTAAACATTACGCACTAGTTTCATGGCAATCTTGACTTTATCCATTGTGGGGTCAGTTGATAATCCAAAATATTGTGCAAACTGTCTAAGAAAATATATGACTTATATCGCTGTAATCAGAAAAAGAAGAGGATTCCAATAACCCACAAATATACAGTGTGTTCTGTTAAAAAAGACATAAGTTTGATTTATATCTTCGAAATGTAAAAGTCAATTGTTTTTCTATACAGGGTGTTTCAGAAAGACCTCCCGTAAATTCAGGGGGTGATAGTAAGACAAAAAATAAGAATTTTTTGACTTATGAATTATATGTCTATCTTCTCTTGTTTCGAGATACAGAGCGACAAAATAAAATATTTTAAATAGAATTTTTTCGAAAATTTTCAAACGGTGCGAAATGTTTTTATGAAATTTGGTTTTTCAGGGTTTTTAAGGACGCCAAATACGGTGATCTAATTATTTTTTGTATATTTTATAGAGGGCGCTAGTTATGCTACATTCGTATTACATTTTAAGTTCAAATTTTTTTGAGGTTAGGTTTTTTAGCATAAGGGCTCCAATTTCTATTGTACAATTTTATTTTCTAAAAATAATGTACTCTTATTAGAACTTCCTAATATGGACGGTTTTCGAGAAAAAAGGCTTTTAATTGAATTTTTACAATACTAAGGTGTAGAAAATAAGTGACTTTTCTCAAAGTAGGCTTATGTCAAAACCTATTGATGGATGTCTCATGAACAACGCATACAGAGATTTTTAGTGACTAGTTAGTAATGACTAATTGCAGTCACTAAAATTTTGATATAAAGTTAATTAGAGTTTAAAATATTACTGAGAATGTATGCGTTGTTTATGAGACATCCATCAATAAGTTTTGACATAAGCCTACTTTGAGAAAAGTCACTTATTTTCTTCACCGTAATATTGTAAGAGTTCAATTAAAAGCCTTTTTTCTCGAAAACCGTCCACATTAGGAAGTTCTAACAAGAGTACATTATTTTTAGAAAATAAAATTGTACATTAGAAATTGGAGCCCGAATGGTAAAAAACCTAACCTTAAAAAAATTAGAACTTAAAATGTAATAGGAATGTAGCATAACTAGCGCCCTCTATGAAATATCCAAAAAATAATTAGACCAGCGTATTTGGCATCCTTAAAAACCCCGGAATACCAAATTTCATAAAAATATTTCGCACCGTTTGGAAATTTTCGTAAAAATTCTATGTAAAATATTTTATTTTGTCGCTCTGTATCTCGAAAACAAGAGGAGATAGACATATAGTTCATATGACAAAAAATTCTTATTTTTTGTCGTACTATCACCCCCTGAATTTACGGGAGGTCTTTCTGAAACACCCTGTATATTTCTTTGATATTTCCTAAAGAAAATTTCCTAAAACTTAGTTCCTACAATTTTTTTGTAGATAGAAAGGTAAAAAAAAAACAAGAAATGGGTAGAACGTTATGCGAAGGGACCTGTATATTAGGTTTATATATACCATTATATTATACCTGAGGATGAATCATAATTAAAGGTCATTCAACTCTCAAACATTTTTTAGACAGACTTTAGTTGCCTGCCCAAATATAATTAATCTATATTAAATATATATTTGTGTAGATGTGTTTTTCAAAAACTTCAACACTTGTCTCTCGAAAACTTAGCTATTTAGGAAATAAGTTCATAGGAACCTTTTTACACAAAATGATCTGGAGTATCTACATTAATAGTGTAGTCTATTAACAATTTAGAAATGTTAAGTATTTAAATTCAAAATCAATTATAGTTTCAAATAAAAAATTATTTACTATTAAAAATTGATGTACGTACCTCAGCCATTGCTAATTGCCTAGAATGGATATTGTAATGGGTAGCTAAATCTGTAGCTAGTATCATGTCTTTAATGAGATCAAGACATTTAATGTAATCCTGACGATTTAGGGAGTCCAAAAAATTACATCCCTAAAATAAGAGTTGTTACAAACATAGAACATGATTCGAATGTTCTAATTACTTCTGTATTTAATGTGCATATTGTTTGAGAAAGGTGGTGTCTTTCCATAACAGATCCTTCACTAGAATATAAACTGGCTAAAACGCTGTTGGATTGTTGTTGGAACGAATTAGTTGTTCCTCTGTGGTCTATGTCATGGCATAGAGATGACACAAAATAAGCCAATGCTTCCAATTTTCTACAAAAATTCAAAATATTTACATTAAAATCCTTGTAAGTAAATAGTTATGAATATTTTTATAAGATGCTATTATGAACAAAAGGAAATGTATTTTTCACAATAATAGTTTAGGATTGTCTGAGCAGCGTTTATCACAAATCATTTTATTTTAATTTGTAAAATAATTCATTTTCAAGGTGGATATTGAGTTTAATTTTATTTTTTTTTAATACGGAAATTACTACAGTAATTTCATTCAAATTTGCTATAACATTTTTTTACATATCGCCCCTATTATCACGTAGAGGCGTACCTGCATATCGATTTTTTGGATTATACGCCTCTACGTGATAAGAGGGACGATATAGAGGCAAAGTTAGAGTGAACATCGCAAGTTTTGTACAATTTTTTTTAAGACGTTTGAAAAATCCCTTTTAAGCTATTATGACATCAGATTATTTTTGAAATTATAATAACTCGTTATTCACACAAAATATTATTTACATGGTTTTCTTCAATTGTTTTTTGCAACTTGAAACTAAGCATAGATAATTTTCAACACTCTGTATCTCAAAAATTAAGCATTTTCCACACATTTATAGAAACTTTTTTTTTTACTAATTTGTGACAAAGAATCCGTCAATAAAGTTTGGTTGAGCATCTGCATAATAACTAATTGTTTGTCGTTGCGACAAATTTTCACGGCTATTTTGCATTCAAATATATATGATTTTGTGTAAAACATCAATTATTTTCATTTCTACTTCTGTTAAAAATGCATCTTTGTCTAGAATTTTCGACTTTTAACTTTGAATGGTCTATGAAAAACTCAAAATGCACAAAAGTTTTATTTGGAAATGATCTATACAAATCTGTAAAATAAAAATCTCTTTAATGTCAAGTACATTTTTCTTTTTAATCCTTTAGGCTTCTAATTTTAGTGGCACTGGTTCCTTCTTTGATTAAATTTTATATATAGATATTAATGAACTGGGCTGTATGAAGTTTGAAATTTATATCTTTATTGTTTTAGAAAAAAATTACTAGGATAGGTACTGAATCAATTTTGAGGGATTTTTTTTGTAACTTCAAGGCTTTATTGTGGAAAGTTGTGTACATTATTATTCTTCAAAGTATTGTCTATCATCGAAAAAACAACTCAACTTTTGAAGCTATCCACCAATCTATACAATTTCTTGTATCTTTGTTAGATTGAAAGCGCTGCTTAGCCAAGCCGTGTTCCATGGACTGGAACAAGTAGTAATCCGATGGATTAATATCTGGTGAATGTGGTGGGTAGGGTAAAACATCAAGTATTTTTTGACTCCATGAGAAATATGTGGCCAAACTTTGTCGTGTTGGAAAATTAGGTACTTTATCGTGCCTTTGCTCGAATAGCGGTTGTTCTTCCTTCAATGCACGGCTCAAATGCATCAATCGTGTTTGGTAGCGTTCACCAGTGATAGTTTAATTCGGTTGAAACAGTTATAGTACACAACACCAAGCTGGACCCACCAAATACACTACATGAGCTTCCACCCATGAATATTGGGCCTTGCCGTCGATGTTTATGCATGACCAAGCAAAACCCCATGAATTTCTACGCTTAGGATCATAGCGTATCCATTTTTCATCGCCAGTGGTAATATACAATACAAAAAACCCTTCATTTTTTGCAGTTGAAGCAATTGTTCACAAGTGAAAAATTGCCGTTTAAAATCTCTCAGCTTCAATTTGAATGGCACCTAATTTCCTTGCTTTTGAATCATACTGAGCACATTTAAACGTTTGGAAACTATTGTGTAATAAACATTCAACAAATCAGTAAGTTCATTTTTTGTTTGACATGAATTTTGGTGGAGTAATGCTTCCAATTCCTCATCTTCGAACTTTCTCAGTTGATCAGGGCGTTCTTTGTCAACTGTATCAAAATCACCATTTCTCTAAGACGTCGATACTAATACTCACACGTTTTTATCGATTGAGTATCTTTACCATAAGTTTCCAACGGCACTCTATGACTTTCAGTAGCCCTTTTCTTTAAATTAATCAGGAAAAGTAAAACTTCCCACAAATGGTGTTTTGTCTATTCTAAATCCCTCAAAATTAATTCACAGTCCCGGTATTATTCTTGCTCTTTTATTTATTTTGACGAGAGGAACCTGCTCTGAAAGATTGTCATAACGTTGTTATACCATTTATATTACCTACTACTGTCAAATTTTGAATGAAAGGTCACAATCTCAAAATCTTGAAATCAAATTTCTTTCTACATCTTCAAATAATAGTTACTTACGAAATATAACCATTTTCAACTAATTTAAAATTCTTCAAACATAAATATGCAAAATGGGCAACACAGAAAGCGTGAAGCCAATTGTGGTATGGAAGATCTCTATAGCCTCTCTTTACATATAGTATGAATCTTATTAAAGTTTCCTCTTTGATTCTAAAATATTCCATAAATTTCAAATCTTCAAACATTTTTAATACATAGCACGGTGTCTCTTTGTATATAATTTTTCTGGGTGTAAACGTGAATTTTGAAAAATTAGGTTCATCGTGATTACAAGGACATGTTATAACATCTGCTACGTCTTGATCGCTAACCTAAAAAAATAGTTCAATATTAAAATCATTAATGGACTTGTTACCCGATAAAACTTAGAACACATATAAATTAATTACCTACATTAATCCCCGTTAATACCATTTAAAATATAAAAGTAACTAATTACCTTCATATGGTACATCATAAGTTCATTGGATAATTTACTCCTTGCCTGAGCATCCTGAATTCGTTTATACACTAAACTATGCATAATGGATATACCACAATAGATACTAAATGCATTGGCTACTTGTTCATCGAAGTAATCAAAATGGCCATCAATTTTATTGCAAAGTTGTGCCACCCCTACAATATTGTCTTCGTCTCGAATAGGGAAACATAATATATTTCTGGTGTGAAAACCCGTTGCTTCGTCCATACCTTTGTAAAAGAGTGGATGTTTGTAAGCGTTTTTTATGTTAAGTATTTGTCCTGTGGCAGCAACATGTCCTGGAAGAAATTATCTTATTACAGTTTAAAGTCAGTATAAAATAAAAATGTTGCATTAATTAAATAAAATTCAAATATAAAGTATTAAATACAGAATTTAATAAGAGCAGAATTTTTAAGATAATTCTATTTTCATACCGATGCTGTGTATAGCAGTATATATTTCTCTATTTTATATTTCATAATTTATGCAGTGGCGGCTGATGCAGGGGGCTCTAGATTGACCTTATGAACCACATTAAAAAGGAAATGTTAAATTTGTAATGTGCACTCAATTTAATTCGACTTGCAAAATTTGTTTGCAAAATTCTGAATACGTGGGATCCACAAAGCTCGCCTCAACATTGGTTTACAACAACTCAACAAGTGTTTACAGCGGTGGCCATGGTTATCATTGCGCAGCAGTGAAAGACGGAGTGGGAGTACCGAATATTTACTATGCAGTTTGGGCTCTGTTTAGTCTGACCGTAACCAAATAATAGCTATTCACCGCTTTGTTCTTATCAAACATAATTTGTTTATGTGTGGTGTAAAATTTTGTCCTTTACACCTACATAATGTTTCTCGTGCATTTTGTACCTAAATTTTTCCGCTCTCCCTGGTATGGAAGTCAAGAGCTGCCACTGAATTTAGGTATCTATTAATTTTCACAATGATTTGATATTCATATGTTCAAAATACACTATACAGGGTGTCCCATTTTTATTCTGAAAAAATTCAGGAAAAGGTAGATCTGATAAAATTAAAGGGACTTTACCATATAACCTTATTTCGAAATCTGAACCCTTTCCGAAATACGGGGTGTTGAAGTTGAACTTTTTTTAACATTTTTTGTTAATATCACTTAGAGTTGTCAGTCAATTCTTCTCAAATTTTGTGTGGTGAATGCCACAGTGCACTAGTACTAATACACAAAATCTCAGCTCGACAGAAAGAGCCAGTGGCGTGCATTCCGCACTTGCCGATACCTTTTATAAAAAGTATGTGTTACGCCACTGACTGATCTTCAAAATAATAAGTAGTTTCAATTGTCCGTACATTGTTCTGCAAAAAAGCATTCTTACGTTTTCTCCATAATAGGCACCGTTACGGAGTAAACCGACATTTTATAAAATCATCCCTGATCTTAATTTTAGCAGAACTGTTTTAATCAACAACTGAAACGCTTAGGTTGTTTTAATTTGGCTTCAGTACTCTATCTAAAATCTCTATCTATCTAAAAAATGTTAAAGCACATTCCTGGATAATTGAATATTATCTGATGTTGATTCCTGAAACTGTACCAATAGTTTAGCAACGAATATTAAAGTTCAGATTGCAAGCCACTCGCTGCAATATACACGTTATACATTCTTAGTAACAGAAAATTAAAAATCAGAGTTGCTTTGAAAACAATTTTGGTTGTCATAATAAACTTGACATGATCACTCTTTGTTGAGAAACGAAAACTTAAATTTACATTAATTACTCGGATTTAACTTATTAATAAAATACCATTAAGTGCTTTAATAATGCCATATAAATTTTCAAATGCTGAATATGCTGATATTGTGTTCTGTTACGGATTGTGTAATGGTAACGCGTTGGGGGCATCTCGAGAATACAGACGGAGGTTTCCTGATAGACGACATCCAAATTCTCAAGTATTTACTGATACATTTCAAAGACTCCATGAAACTGGTAATGTAAGAAAAACCACAACATTAGAGCACAGATATCAAAGAATAAATTTGAGAATTATTCGTGCATTTCATAACAATCCTCGACTAAGCGTGAGAAGAGCAAGCCAGCAGCTGCAATTAAATAAAAACAAGGTATGGCGAACTCTTAAAAAAGATCATCAACATGCATATCATTTTAAAAAGGTTCAAAATTTGCACCCTGGAGATGCGCAGAATCGAATTAATTTCTGCTATTGGTTGTTAAATCAAATCGAAAATGATGTTGATTTTGTTTCTAAGGTTCTGTGGACAGACGAAGCGTGTTTTACGAGACGAGGCGTTGTGAACCATCACAATTTACACTTGTGGCAACATGAAAACCCACACGCTATTAGGCCGTCATCATTTCAAAATGAATTTAGTGTGAATGTTTGGTTGGGTTTTATTAATGGAGAACTGGTTGGTCCTGTATTTTTGCCTCAACGTTTAAATTCCGATGGATTTTTAGATTTTCTAGAACATGATCTTCCCGTTGTTCTGGAAAATTTGGCATTACAGCTTCGTGCAGATTGTTGGCTGCAGTTGGATGGAGCACCCGCCCACTCAGGAAGGGCAGTAGTAGGTTGGCTTAATGAGCAATATCCTAACAAATGGATTGGTCGCGGAGGCCCTGTTCCTTGGCCAGCTCGTTCGCCTGATATTACTCCTTTGGACTTTTCCATTTGGGGCATAATAAAAGACAAGGTATATGAAAGTGTGATCAACTCACGTGAACAGCTGCAACAACGAATTAGAGCTGCCTGTCATGATTTAAATCAAAATAGGTTCGTCATGCAAAAAATTAAACGAGCAATTAGAAAAAGATGTGAGGCCTGTACTGCGGCCAATGGCCTGCAATTTGAACAATATTTAAATATTCGTTGATACATTAATGATACAGTTTCTGTTTAGTTAATGTGCATTAATTTTATAATTAATTATTAAATTTTTGTTATTAAATCACCAAGAGAATTTTAAATGTTTTAATTTTTTCCAACTTAAAAAAAGTATCATTATCAGTAATCACAGATAGTATTCAATTAGCCAAGAGTGCGCTTCAACATTTGTTAGATAACACGAAATTAACACGAATAGTGATTAAGTTGGGCATTTGAGTTGTTGATTACGACAGTTTTGCTAAAATTAAGATCAGGAATGATTTTATAAAATATCGGTTTACTCCGTAACGGTGCCTATTATGGAGAAAACATAAGAATGCTTTTTGGCAGAACAATGTATGGATAATTGAAATCACTTATTATTTTGAAGGTCAGTCAGTGGCGTAACATATACTTTTTATAAAAGGTATCGGCAAGTGCGGAATGCACGCCAGTGGCTCTTTCTGTCGAGCTGAGATTTTGTGAATTAGTACTAGTGCACTGTGGCATTCACCACACAAAATTTGAGAACAATTGATTTATAACTCTAAGAGATATTAACAAAAAATTTAAAAAATATTTCAACTTCAACACCCTGTATTTCGGAAAGGGTTTAGATTTCGAAATAAGTTTATATAGCAAAATCCCTTTAATTTTATCGAATCTACCTTTTCCTGAATTTTTTCAGAATAAAAATGGGACACCATATATACAGTAAAGCTCGGTTATAACGTACCGGTGGGGACTTAAAAAATCGGTACGTTATATCAGAAGTACGTTTTAAAAAAATTATTAAAAGTTTTATTGATTCTTAACAAAAATACAAACATACATATATTTAACAAACGCAGCAATAGAATAACAGTATATATGGATATATGGATTTGTTCTTAAAACTTAAAAGCAAAACTAAAAGTAGTTTTTATTTGCACCACAAAATAGGTATGTATGTATAATAAAATACCTAAAACTACTTTCTAAAAAAGTGTTATATGAGTTTGTTTTTTTCGATTTATAAGGATCTGTTGCTCTAAATACATTTCTATTTCCAGCAATGCGCTTAAAATACGATCTTCAGTATTAATTTTACTTTCTAAAAATCGTTTTACATTTTTTATTCCTCTAATTGCGTCATCAAACGTTATGGGCGTTTCTTCTTCCGGTTCTTTTTCATCTTCTTCTCCACTGTCAACCTGCTCATCTTCGTTAATCTGGTCAAAAATATCCTGCTCTGTAGGCAAATTTGTTGTAACAAGCTCTATCCACGTCAACGAAAGCGTCAATCACAGTTGGATTTAATTTTTCTAAGTTAAAATTATTTTTATACACTTATAGGTAAGTTATCGTCATCCTCTTCATTAACAACTTGTTGAATAAGCCATTGGTTAAGAGGTAAATCATCGTCCTCGTCGAACTCTCAAAGAGAGGGCCATGCATGTTTGAAACAATTTTTAATTGTTTTTTTGACAACCTGTTGCCACGCTTTTGTAACCATTTCAATAGCATCAAGCAAATTTATTGTTATTGGTGTGCTATTTTCGATGCACTTAAGATTACTGGTCATAAGCAGTCGCCGATAATGAACTTTCAAACTGTGGATAACACCTTAATCCATTGGTTGCAGGACAGATGTAAAATTTGGTGGGAAAAATGCCAGTTCAATATTGGTCAAATTGGAAACGTGAGGATGAGCAGGACAATTATCAACAAGCAATAATATCCGCCTGTTTTCTTTTACCAATTGTTTGTTCCAAGATCTTAGCTCACTTTCAAAAATATTTGCAGTCATCCATGCGTGCTTGTTTGCCGTATAATTAACCGGCAATTTTTTTACATTTTTAAAACATCTGGTCCTATCAAATTTACCAATAACTAAGAGTTTACGTTTTTCTGTCCCGATCATATTTGCGCATACAAGAACTGTTATTCTTTCCTTAGAAAGTTTTCCTCCAACACATTTTTGACCTTTAAAGCTCATTGTACGATCTGGAGCAAGTTTATAAAAAAGACCAAGTTCATCAGCATTAAAAACATCACTCTTGCCGTAGTTCATAAGTAGTGGAACTAATGTTGATTTAACCCAATCCAACGCATATTCCATGTTCACACTTGCAGCTTCCCCATGGATTTTACTGGAACTTATATTGTGCCGCTTTTTGAACCTATGTAACCAACCCGAATCACAAGAGAATCCATCAGCATTAAGTAACTTTGGGCCTTTGCCTGAAGAATGGGCCCACTTATTGTAGTATTCAAACTTCTTTGATACGTAAACCACTGAAGTAATGCCTCATCGATGTTTTTTTGGATGGATGTCGGCCATTTCAGCAAAAGAGTATTCCGGCATATTTTGAAAGACGAGAACAATGATTTTTTTCAATTACACTGTTATTAACACAATAATAATCGAATAAACTTTATTTTTAAACCTTATGTCAAATTCGTTTACCGTAACTACAGTAATTTGACCTTTTTCCATTTTCAACTTAGCACCGACATAAGCCTACTTTGATGTAGAAATTTTTATTATTGGGCGACCATGCATGCACTATTTTCTTTGGAGAGTATTTTCTCGAAAACGGCTAGCCTGACAGGTTTTCTACAAGAATACCTTTTTTATGTCATTTATACCGCGGAATCAGAATTTCTAAAGAAAACTGCAAAAATATGACGTTTAATAAAAATGTGAACAAATTAAATCGAGGCCTCCCCTGTCGGTACGCCCCTGATTAAAATAATAATTTAGTAAAAACACTGAAAAGTACCTACTATTAAAGGCAATTCATATGCCAAAATTCAGATGGCTATCTGAAACGGTTCCAGAGATATAAAATAAAACCTATATCCCGGTGCAATCTTTGAATCGCCATAGCAACCTTATGACGCATTTGCGGACCTATGTTCATATGAACTTTTCTTCATAGTTTAACATGTAGAATCACCCCTAGAATTATTCGAACGGTATTTCCGGACACCCTGTATACT